CTAAAAGGCTTCCAATGATTGTCCATAACTTGCTTCTGTATCAAAAGGCCAAGCTTCTCCATAACCATGATGAACAAATATGGAGAAAGAGGATCTCCTTGTCGAAGTCCCCTTTGTGGTGAGAAATAAGGCAAAGGTTCTCCATTCCAAAGCACTGAAAGCTGGACCGAGGAAACTGAGAACATTATAAGTTCAATTAGAACAGTTGGAAGATTGAAGTCTTGAAGAACTGATCGTAAGAAGGTCCAATCTACACTGTCAAAGGCTTTGTGCAAATCGATTTTCAGAACCATGGCGCCTCTACCTCCTCGCAGTTGTTGCATTGAGTGAACCACCTCTTGGGTCAAAATAATATTGTCAGTGGTACTCCTTCCTGACAAGAAGCTACTCTGCTGGGGTCCAATTAACTCTTGCAGATAAGGCCACAAGCGATTAACAAGAACTTTTGAGAGCACCTTATAAGCCACATTCAACAAACTGATTGGACGAAATTTTTGTACAGTATCCAGACTATGCTCTTTTGGTATCAAGACAACATGCGCCCTGGCAAGATCCGGATCAAAATAGCCATTAGATAAGGCTTTATTAACAAAATCCAAGAAAGTACCTTTCACAGTATCCCAGTTCCTTTGGTAGAACAACGCCTGTATACCATCAGGTCCTGGGCTCTTCAAGCCCTTCATTGAAAAAAGAGCAATCCGCACTTCTTCCTCTGTAGCTGGCTTGATGAGGGTGGGGTGTTCAGAAGCATCAATAGATGGGTGGGAAACTGAAGCAAGAGGGACAGGGTTCGTAGAACTAGACCTTGAGAAAAGATGGACAAAGAAGTTAAGAACATGGTTTTTTAGTATTTGCGGCTCCTCAGTCCAGACTCCATCAATTTTCAAAGCCCCAACCTTGTTTCTACACCTCCGGGTGATAGTGGACAGATGATAAAAGGTGGTATTCCTATCACCAGAGGCGATCCACTCCACCCTTGATTTTTGGAACCACAAGACTTCCTCCTCAAACAAAACCTGCTGGTAATCACTCAACAACTTCTTTTCTAAAGTTTGTAAATTAAGGGAATAGTCGTACCGCGGGAAATTTTGCAAGCCAACTAATCGAGCCTGTAACAATCTTTTCTTTCTAAAAATATCCCCAAATGATTCTTTACCCCACACAATGCAAGCATCACTAGTGGAAGAGATGGCTTGTTTTATATCCGTGGGGTGCTGAGTCCAAGCTCGAGAGAACACAGTTGGAAACTCTTCCCTAGTTAACCACACAGCCTCAAATCTCCTAGGCTTGTGATGTGGGACCAAAGAAGCAGCTGTATCTATGTTTAGAAGAATTGGGTGGTGATCACTACTGGTCCAAGGTAAGTTAAAAAGTTTAGCACCTTGAAATTCAGCTTTAGCTTGGACATTGAAGAGAGCTCGATCAAGTCGTTCCCGTAAGGTAACTCGCCCCTGCTGTATACGGCACCATGTGTATTTACACCCTAAGGCTTCCTCAGATATCAAGTTGCACCGATCCAGTATTTCATTAAGGTGCTGAGCCCGACGAAATATGGATGAGCGATGAGGAAACACTTCATCAGAGGAAAGAACATCATTCAAATCACCCATCACCACCCAACTAGAAGAAATTGAAGCACTTCTTGACTCTATATCAGCCCAGAATGCCTCTTTGTAATTACACTGAGGTCGAACATACACTAAAGAGAGAAGCCAGTCTCCGAAACCATTGTTAACTGTGCAGTGGATGGCTTGAGGTGAGGATGAAAAAACATGTATGTTAGCTATAGAAGATTTCCAAAACAACCATAGTCCGCCAGCAAACCCAGACGACGGGACTTGGAACTGTTTATCATAGCCAAAATGCAACATAAATTGCATGGCCCGTGACGATGAATCAGCTTTGGTCTCTAAAAAGCATATTACATCAGGCTTTTGCACTCTTAACATCTCTTTACAATCTCTCCAAAAGGAGGAGTTATTAACTCCTCTACAATTCCATGTCAAAATCTTCATTAAGAAGAGGATATAGGATTTTGCAATGCCTGTAGAGGCGACTTAGATTCTAAACCAGCAGTAGTACCGGATGTCAAGATATCAGTTTGGGGTGCCATGTTAGAAGTTGGAGAAACAGCAATAATATTTCCTGGACCATGTTCCGCATTCTCACCCAAGTTAAGTGATGACTGATCAACTGAAATCCCAACTGACGGCTGATTGTTCGAAAAAGGCTGACGGAGACAGGTCTGGGCAACCCTACAAGGCTCCTGCCCCTTTTCCAACACATAGTTAACGACAGTTGGGGGTGGGGTAGACAGTTTGCGTGTGAGCGGGGCATAAGGTTTAGCTGCAACATGTTTTGGGGCCTTAGGAACAGGGCCAATTGTCACCTTCTCTTTTTGCTTCTTCTTAAATGAAGCTTTAGGCCGAGAGCGAGATGGTCCAACTGGAGTGGGGGATTGGGTAATGGGCTGTTCTTGACTTGGTGACTCGCAAGGCATGACTTCCATGTTCAACTTGTCGCCTTTAGGATCATTCAAACTTAAATTAACTTCATCATTTGCCGCCATATTCAGCGAAATTCTCTCAACAGTCATTAGTTCATCACTCCTCTCTTGGGATTCTTTTTCCATATTGGAAATAACTGCAAATCTATTGCCCATCAAAGGCTCAGTGATTTCTGCTGACTTCCTCTGTACACTCTTAGTTAATGGTCTTCGGGGTTTCCGGTTAATTATCATCCATGGTCCGTAGGGTTCGGAAAGAGTAGCTGAGGTTGTGGGACGTGTATGGGCGTGGTGCTGCTGAATTCCAGTTATCGGCTGGGTGGTCTCTGTCACTAGCTGTGCCTGCCGATAATAGCATGAATCTTTTTTGTGCCCAAACTCCCCACAATGAAAGCAAACGTTATTTAGATCATACGCAACCGTAAGAAACATGGAATTCGAATCAACACCATCATTGAAATCCACCATAGAAGCCAATGGTTCTGCCAAATTAACCTCCACACAGACCTTAGCATATTGGCCTCGGGTGGCTAAAAGAGTTGTTTCATCCACAAAGATAGTGCGACCCACTTTGTTCCCCAGCAATCGTAATATAGGTTCTTGATAATACTCTGTGGGAAGCTCCGGAAAGTGTACCCAAATGGCTGTTTTTGGTGCTTTCGCATGCGAAGGCCGGAAGTTCGGCTGCCACGGTTGCACAGCAAGATAATGACCAAAGATTTTCCAAGGACCTCCAGTCAAAATACGATTGCGATCATCCAAAGAAGCAAATTTCACTGTGTAAAAACCCAATCCAAGATCAATTAAATCAAACTCACTTTCAGTTCTCCATAATGCTCCCAACCGGGCACATAAAAGCTTATAGTTGATAGTTTTCCCCAGTAATTTGATAATTACCGTGTTCTGCCAATTGCTCCGCAGTCTCATCGTGATCTCTGGACTAAGCCGGACAGAGGGGATCTTGGGACCGTGATCCTGCGAAGGATTATCTTCCACCATAGCCATAGATGGGTTAATGGCCTCAAGCTCCTCAT